GGTGTTCCCTGCAGTGAACTGGTTTTACTGGTCCTACATTTGCACAACTGATGTTACACAAAAACTTGGGAGTTGGGCCTTTTTTTGAAGTGAATGAACTTACTTTACAGAGCTGAAGTTTTAGAAAAAAATCAAGTTACGATCTCCCAGCTTGTGTGTGTTGTTGCTCTTCACCTCATAAATTAAAACATTATAAAGGAAGGCTTGTAAATTAAAACTAATTAGGTTGTTAGGTGGCACTTATTGGCTCTGTTTTACAATTACCAGTGTCACAACTGGTTGTACTGGTGGGAACAGCTGGTGAGAGGATGAGAACTCCAAGCTGGAAAAACTCTGCTCCCAGCACTACCCGGAGTCACTCGGGCTCGTCCTCAAGGACTGGAGAACTCCAGCTATTCCCAATCCCTGGAACAGTGGGAACCGCAGAACTCCACAGCACAGCTCTGCCCCAGCTCCAGAGATCCCAGCGGATTCCTGGTGTGCAATCGGCTTGGAAAACAGAGCATGACCCAACTTCCACCCTTGCCCAAGGACAAGCAGGAAGGGGAAAACGAGAAGCAGCAGCTCTGGGCTCTGCCTTGAACCTGCACTAAACCCCAAGCCCATTTTAGGGACCGCTTCCCGAGGACAAGCAGGAAGGGACAAACAAGCACCAGCAGCTCTGGGCCCTGCCCTGACCCTTGCACTAAACCCCAGGAGCATTTCCCAAGGACAAGCAGAAAAGGACAAACAAGCACCAGCAGCTCTGGGCCCTGCCCTGACCCTTGCACTAAATCCCAGGAGCATTTCCCAAGGACAAGCAGAAAAGGACAAACAAGCACCAGCAGCTCTGGGCCCTGCCCTGACCCTTGCACTAAACCCCAGGAGCATTTTGGGACCACTTCCCAATTTGTAACACAGACCTCGGGACTCTTTTCCCCAGCAAGGAAACAGTTTTGCCTTTACCCACCAAGCCTTTTTTTTTTTTTCTTCTCTCTTTTTTTATCTGTTTGTTTGGGGTTTCTTTTCCCAGTGTTTTCCAGTCCTCTGAAGTACCACAAAGGGTTGTGGAGCTGTGTGGGGGCAGGCCAAGCTCTGGGAATCCCAAAACCCCGGCGTTTTTAACTCCTGCAGCTGTGTCAGGAATGCTCAGGGTAGACGTAGGCTCAAGCACTGGTAACTGCCACCCTGGCACAGTATTTTTAGCACTAGTTAGGAAGGCCAGGGCTGCCTGGAGAAAGGATTTGAATTTCCAGCAGCTGCAGGAGAGAAAAGGAGGGAGGGAAGGAGGGAGGGAGCAACAGAGGTCCTTTCACCAGGAACAGGACTCTGGGTTTCTGCGCATGGGGATTGAGAGGTGGCAAAGATAACGTCAGTCAGCCCTTAATCTGCATAAAAAAGATCCAGTTAAATGTGTAAGGTGGAATCTGGCAAGAAAATGACGTTAAATATGGCTCTAGTGAGAGATTGTGGTATCAACAAAAACAGCCAAAAATAAAAAACCCGCCCAACTCGGAGCACCCTTTCCTGCCTGAGACAGAGAACAATGGTGACATTCAACAGACACCCCCTGGAAAGTGCAATTTATGGAAAGAATGGCAAACAGCCCCCCTTCCCAGCCAGAATAAATCAATGAAGATGTAAAAACGCATGCATTCCAAAAGGAAAAAATTAAAACCTTGCTAAAAAAAAATGCACTTTTAATGCAGTGACACCCCCCTCCCCTCCTTGCATTCCCCACCACCACCACCCCGCTCCAGCCTGAAGGTGACCTGCCCCCCAAAAACATCGTTAACCCCCTCAGGCACATTAACAGAGCATCATCATCATCAGCATCAGCATCATCATTACCAGCATCACCCCACTAAGTACCACCATTATGAGAAGCGGAGAGAGAGAAGAATGTTACTCGACCTTTCGTCCCCTGCATGTTGCCTGTCAGAGTCGGGCATGTTTGGGTCAAGAACTGGGTTTGGGGGTTTGGAGAACAAGCTTTCAAAGGCCATTGTGCCTGGCTGTGGTGTGGTGAGGAGGAGGAGGAGGAGGGAGGTGGAGGAAGGCAGGGCCCCGCCGCTGCCCGCGGTGCGGAGCGGCGGGAGGAGGCGGCGGCGGCGGCGGCGCGCACGGCCGCGCTGGGGGCGGCTCGGTGAGGAGGAGGAGGAGGGCCGGGCCCCTCAGTGAGGAGAGATGATGAAGGTTTGCACTCACGGTTACTTAGTGAGACACTAACGGGCACTCAGCGCCCGGGCCCGGCCGCCCCGCGCGGGCGCTGCGGGGAGGCGGCGGCGGCGGCGGCGGCTCGAGCGGCAGCCCCGGGGCACAGGAGAGCGGGAGGACACACACACGGGGGGAGGGAGGTGCTGCTGGCCGGAGATGGCGGCCCTAATTCTTCCTTACAAACATGGCGCCCGCGCGAGGCACTCGCACAAAATGGCGGCGGCGGCTGAGAAGGGAGGAGGAGGAGAACGGCGGCGGCAGCAGCGGCGGCAGCGGCCCCCGGCGCTGTGCCCGCACACGCTCGCTCAGCGCCCGCGGCCCGCACACGGCGCCGCCGCCGCCACAGCGTCTTCCGCGCCCGCCGGGGCCGCGATGTCGCTGCGTCCCCTCACGCCGCCGCCGCCCGCCGCGCTCCTGCTCCTCCTCCTCCTCCTCCTCCTCCTCCTCCTCCTGCCCC